GTCTGCGGAGACTCCAAACCCCGGGTCCACCAACGGCCGAAACGTCGCAGGCGCGCCTAAGCCAGTCCCCGCGGTCTGGTGCGCATTCGCACCGCACGTCTCGAGCACAATGCGAAAGTAGTCCTCTTCCAAAAACTCTCTGAAGATATCATGAGCGTCCGCTCCACTGAGTTCGACAACTTCAGCCATCTCATCCCAAGCTAACCACAAATTCTTGTCCAGCAACTCCAACAATTCTGGCCTCATTGCCGACGCGGCATCACGAGCGAAAACCTTCTCTCTGTGTCGTCGTGGTCTTCGGCAACGGCGTCGCCGCGGTGGTCGTGGACGTCGTCGTCGTCGCCGTGGACGTCGTCAAACGGTCATCGTCGGTGTCGCTGCCGTGGTCGCGCCCGTCGTCGCCGCTTTCGACGCGCCCGTCGTCGCCGCTTTCGACGTTGCCATGCCGCCGCCGTCGGGGTCCCCGAGCAACATCACTGCTAGGCACCAACAACGCTCTTGCTTCGGCAATTCCGTAGCAGACCGCCTGGGGTTGAAAACGCATCCGCCGAGGAAAAACTGGCAATCCGCGTCGCACAGATGTTGCAGAGGTACGACGAAGATGATTATCTGGTCGGAATGGGTGACCCAGTCATCCATTCCAGTGAGACCTAGCGCCTGGAACTCAGCTGGACCACTTCACCCAACGCACCCACGCGAAGAACCAAACGGACCTGCCGAATTGCGGCGCGAGAGAGGCGCCATCGTCACAGCGACATACACCAAATCCTTCAGTGCAAGCTCGTGCGAGAAAAACGATGCCGCCGACAAGGGAGGGCTGCTCATGGTCCACTGCGCTTGATACGAATAGCATGATCATGTCTCGGCGCTGCTGTCGACATGGAGCGATCCGCTCCAAAAAGCTGCTTCCAACTAAATGGGCTCACGTGAGGGTGAGCAATGACAGAATCTCAAAAACCTGCGCTACGCGCATTGCCCTGGATGCCCATGTTCGACACTCCAGCGTACTTAGCATCCCCGCCATGCGATGCTGCGCAGTTGCACCGTCGCCCACGAAATCTACGCGCCAATAGGCGTCTTCGTCGGTGAACGGGGTCGCGCTGCACACATGGAAATACAAATTCGTGGCTACCTGAGCGAGGAGCTTCCTCATGCAATTGAGGTCACCGCTGCTATCCTGCATCGGCTTCTTCGTAATGCGGGCGACTGTGACCGCAACAGCCTACCTCGTGAACACCAGTGCTCTGGCGGCGTGCCGGTGAAGGTGCAGAACTAGCTCTAGCGGCAAACACTCCGCCATGTCTGCTGGGCGACGGCAGTACGGCGACGACCGGAACTTGCCACCGCAAAGAGCATGATCACCGACTCCTCGCCCTCTTCGCTCCAAATTAACAGGGCGGACCAGCGCCTCTCCATGCCGACAGCAAGGAAACCTTGAGAAAAAGGCTCGTGCTCATGGGCGGAGCTAAGCTCACAGCCGAACCGCCATGCGGTAAGCCAAAGTGACTACAGTAAACGACACCGCTGGGGCACTCCTGGGCGCTCCGTAGCCTTCGGAAATGGCCAGAAACACGCACGTGAAAACCTGCGTCAGCCCACGACAAGACTTCCGAGAAGGAAAACGAGGACGAATACGAAGAGCGGAACGACTCATTTCAGTTCTACCAGGGGTCACGACTCCTTGCAGGACGATCCCGAACGTCTCACATACACGGAAAGGCCCGATCGACTCCCACTAGCCCCAATAGCCCGAACTGCTCACGCCGCGAGAAGCCCGATCGAGTCACACACACGCACAAACCCAAACGACTCGCACCAGGGCGACGGGCCTGCACGACGGACACCACGACGAGCCTGAACAACTCCTCGCCCTCCTCGCTCCAAAGGGCCCCTTATGCAAGGCAAAGTATCAGGGCGTACCAGCACCTCCCCATGCCGACAGCAAGGAAACCTAGACAAAGGATCTTGTGCTCATGGGCGGAGCTAAGCTCACGGCCGAACAGCAATGCTGTGCGCCAAAGTGGCAACAGCGACGACAACGCCGGGGCACTCCTGGGCGCTCCGTAGCTTTCGGCACTGGCCCGAACCACGCAGGTGAAAACCTGCGTGACCGCACGACAAAAATCTAAGAAGGAAAAAGAGGGAGAAGACCAAGAGCGAGACGACCAATTTCAATTCTACCAAAGGCCACGACTCCTTGCACGGCGATCCTGGACGTGTCACACACACGGAAAAGGCCCCACCGACCCCCACCAGTGCCAGTAGCCCGAACTGCTCGCGCCGCGGAAAACCCGATCGAGTCATCTGTGGGAACCTTGGAAGTTATCTAGAACTGCACAAAAGGACAACTGTGTATGATACTATCCCCTGACACTCGGAACACCTGCAACACCAGAGAACTAGACCCCAGGCCCCTGGACGCTGGGAAGAGGCAAAGGACAACGTTAAACTTCTGTGCATGTCTTTCTGTGCATTCGTGATGTGTGTCGGACCGCCGTCGATTTCTGCGTGCTTCTGTATTGGATACATGCGTGTATAGATGTGAAGGGAAATCAATGCTCTGCTGTCGCAATGACGATGGATTTTGCCATGAAGCTCTCAAGAGTAGCCAGTCTCTGAGACATGTCGCGCTCACCGCCGTGCCTGCAGGTCACCGAGCGCTAACCGCCGCGGCGACCTGCTGACACGAACGCGGGGCGACTGGAGAAGAATGGCACCCACAGGAGATGCAAAAATGAAGATCTCGTAGCGGTGCTCGGCTACGTGCAGCATTTGTGCACGCGAGCCACCTCGTGCCAGAAACACAGGAAGCGCGTGCGTTACAAATAGGCGGAGCGAAGCTCACAGCCACACTCCAATACTAAAGGCCAGAGTAGCAAGGACAACAACGCTGGTCGGGAAAGATCGCTGGTTTCGACGACGTCGACCCTCAGTCATGTACTACAACGACTACTACTCCGACTACTACGACGTCTCCTACTGTGACTACTCCCACTACTACTTCTACTCCTACTAGGAAGTCTCCTACAACTACTGCTGCTACTACTCATCGTACTACTGCTGCTCTGCCTCACACCACGGAAAGGCCGAATGACTGGCACCACAAGGAGGGGCCCGAACCACTCACACCAGGACGAGGCGCCCGAACGACTGACACCACCACGACGAGCCCGAAGGACTCACACCACGACGCGGGCCCCGAACGACTCACACCACGATGCCCCGAACGACTCACACAGGGAGGAGGGGCCCGAACGGCTCACACCAAAAGGACGGGCCCGAACAACACACACCACGTGAAGCCCGAACGACTCACACCAGGACGAGGAGCCCGAACGACTCACACCACGAAGACCCCGAACGACTCACACCAGGAAGAAGGGCCCGAACGACTCAGACCAGGCAAGGCACCCCCAACGACTCAAACCACGAGGAGCGCTTTCTCTCCCTGCTCCTTCGCCTCGTCCTTCCCCCGCCCCCCCCCGCAAAGAAAATGCACACCGAGGCGGGAGGAAGGAGGAACAGGGGCGATAGAAGGGGCCCTGCGGACACACGCTTGACAAACACCACGGTCGGCATGCTTCGCGAGAGTTGCTGCTGTGAGATGAGCTGCGACGCCCGCCCTTCAGCCAGAACGCGGGCAATCGTCGTCATCGTCGTCGAGAGAGGGCGGACGCGGCAAGGGGGGTGATGGTGGTCACCTCGCCCCCCGTGAACCGCCAGCCCCCCCAAAAAAGTGGACCGCTCGGGCGTCTATCCCAGACGCCAAAGCTGAAACATTCCCCCAGGCCGCCTCAGGACGAATTGAGGCCCAGTTCCTCCCGCAGCCGCACTGCGGGGGCGCCGGCGGGCGTGGGGGGGCGGCGGCGTCGCCAACGCGCAGTTGGTAACTGTCCTCCTCCTCCCCCCGCATCATAGCGATGAGGGTAATGATGAGCATCCTACGATGATGAGGCCCTGGGTCCCGTCCACGAGTCCCGGGCCCCGCCCTGGGCCGCGGGCCAGACCCCCCCGCCCACCATGGACTCTCAACTGCGACCGTACTATATATATACATGTATACATATATATATGTATATGTATATATATATATATATAAATGTATACGTATGTATACCGACATAAATATACATCTGACTATATATACATGCACGTCTACACACAATAGATATACCATATATGTTGCTGGCATACTGAAACACGCGTGATCGTGGGCGGAGCAAAGCTCACAGCCACACTGACATACTGTGAGCCAATATGGCAACAACGACGACACTGGACGGGAAAGATCGCTGGATTCGACGACGACTGCCCTCTGTCTTGCCTCCCAACTCCTTCACTCCCTCCACCTCCTCCGACTCACACAACGACGGCACCCAACGACGCCCACCAGTCGTCGTCGTCCTCGTCGTCGTCGTCGTCGCCGACGTCGTCGTCGTCATCGTCGTCGTCGTCGTCGCCGCCGCCTTCCTCGTCGTCGTCGTCGTCGTCGACGTCGTCGTCGTCGTCGTCGCGGTTGTGATCGTCGCCGACCTTGCGGTCGACATCGTCGTCGTCGTCGGGTGCGTCGTCGATGTTCCGATCATTCCTGAGGTCGTCGTCTCCGCTAAGTCCCTCTTGCCTCCCACCGCTTTCTCTCCCTCCTCCTGCGCCTCGTCTTTCTCCCGCTCCCCCCAAACTCCCGCTCCCCCCGCAAAAAGGATGCACAAGGAGGCGGGACGAAGGAAGGACAGGGGCGATATGCGGGGCCACGGGGACACACGCCTGATAAACACGACTGTCGGCATGCTTCGCAAGACGTGCTGATATGAGATGGGCTGGTGGGGATACGCGAAGCGTAAAGGATTTTCTTTGTCTTCGGGGAAGGCTTAGACAACTTCTCAGAAGGCCGGGGGGCTTTCGAACCTTCTCAAAAAGGCATTGGCCCTCTCACTTCCCCCCTCTTTCGCCGCCGAGGATTGAAAAAATCTGATCGTCGGAGATCATAAAGGCGCCCGCTCCTCAGCGCGGCCGGGACCTCGACCACGATGGGCGTCAGGCCGGCCGGCCTGCACGCCACGTCCGCGCCCGCGCCGGGCGCCGGGAAGGCCAGGGCGCCTGTGGCGGGGAGAGGGGACCTCTAGCTCGCGAGGGTCGAGGGTACTGCGCCACGAGCGGCGAAGATAGCCACATCCACGCCCACTCCCTCCTCCCTCCTCATACTCTTCCTCCCTCCTCCCTCCTCCCTCCTCCCTCCTCCTCCTCTTCTTCCTCCTCCTCCTCTTCCTCCTCCTCCTCCCCCCTCCTCTCCTCCTCCTCCTCCTCCTCCTCCTCCTCCTCCCCCCCATGTGCTCACGATAGGCGAACATAATTATGCATATCTGCGCCTTCTCGCGGTCTGGACTCTGGGGCGCGAGCTCACGGATACGTGGTCACACGGATACGTTCCGCGCGGGGCATTTGCGAACAATACGCCCCGTATCCGCAGGGTCGCGTCACAGGGGCCTGGCCTGGCCCGCGAGGCTGCACCTTCGGATATGCATTTTGCCACGAATGTAAAACGAGTGCAGGACGTGGGCAAATTTGGAATCGGATAACTTAGGACTCTCTGGAAGCTGGCGGGTCTGGAGGATGTATCGAGAGCCGCGGCCCTTCAAGAATGCTCTGGGAGGCTTTGAGAGCGTTCTGGACAAATCTGGCATGTTTTATCATTATGCTCGGTTTGCCTGGTGATGGTCCGAAGGTTCGCTGATCCCAGACATGCTTGCATGAACAACAAATAAACGGATTACTTGTTGGGGCAATTTTCGGCCTCCTGCGGCCCTCGCCAGGCCCTGGGACAGTAATTGCACGACGCGGGGCTCCCGATATGTGCACGTGAATTTCTTGTTGCCTCTCGTTGCGAGCGCCTGGCTGTAAAATGCTGGGCGCGATAACGACGACGCGCAGTTTCCTCCTTCCCCATCCCCCTGCCATTTGAATCACTCCTCCCTGTCGACCACCCAGACGTGTCGGTAGGGCGGGCCCAGCGATTCGCAAGAGACAGGGACCCCTTGACGGATGCAGGGTTATCGTTTTCAAAATGCGGTGTTCGCCGGAACGCCGCGCGCACTCGTCGCGGAGGAGACGGAGGAGGATCAGGAGAAGGAGAAGGAGGAGGAGGAGGAGGAGGAGGAGGAGGAGGAGGAGGAGGAGGAGGAGAGGAGAGGAGAGGAGGAGAAAGAAAAAGAAGAGGAGAGGAGAGGAGGAGGAGGAGGAGAAGGAGGAGAAGGAGAGAGGAGGAGAGAGTAGGAGAGAGGAGGACAGAGGAGGAGAGAGGAGGAGAAAGGGGTAGGGAGGACGAGGAAGAAGAGGAGGAGGAGGAGGAGGAGGAGGAGGAAGAGGAGAGAGGAGGAGAGATGCGGAGAGAAAAGGGGAGAGGAGGAGAGAGGAAGAGAGAGGGGTAGGGAGGAGGAGGAGGTCCACCGCTCCCAGGGGGGCGCGCCGATCCTCGCTAGCCTGTTAGCGCCGTATGACACGGGCGTTTGCGTCGCCCGTCCCGCACGCGTCTGACGAGACTCGACCAATGGAAAATTGACGCACTGCGCCTCCTCTGAGGGGGAGGCGAACGGCAAGCCGCAGGGCCTCTGCAAACTCCAATGCCTGCGCCTCACTGAGCTCTGTTCCTGCCCTGGTGGACTCCCTGCCACAAAACCGGTAGCCGCGATTACTCGCAACAGAAAATGCGAGCTGGCAGCCGCGGAGCCCAAGAAACCACTAAGTCCGCTCGGGGGCTTCACATTGAAGAGCTTGACGAACCAGTCGCCGATGTACCAAGCATTCGAGAAAGTAGTGGCCCATTGTGTACTGCTTGCCGGGGCAGCCAAACACGCGCTGGGCATGCCGTTGCATTCTCCGATTTGTGATCCAACTCCCACTCCAAGTACGGATCGCGATGAGGGCCCAGAACGTGGGGACCTCGAAAAGGAGCGACCGGATGCCTTCCCACCTCCTCTCGCCGAGAACCTCAACGCCGAAGTGCTCGAGGAGGCGCCTGTCCATCAGCGTGGGCACATCATCGGGGATGAGCTCGCGCTGGATGGCGTCCAGCAACAGAGTCTGCATCGACTGTGGACGTTTGCGCCGCCGACTATCCGACGCGCTTCCTGCGCAGCGGAAAGCGGTGCTCGGCATGCGCGGGGGGCGCGCGAAGGCGCGGCGCTCGGCGCAGATGAAATCCCGGCGAAGAAAGAGAAACTGCATCTTGGAGCTCATCACAGGCAAGGCGCGCTCCTGGCATAGGCGCCCTGCCTCGGCTGTTGTCGGGTGTCGCTGCGTGATCGTAGCTACCCTTTGCTTCTGCTTCTCTGCGGGCTCCTGTCAGTTCGCGCCCCCATCCACTCCCGGCCCCGAGATCATGCCGGGGAGGCCGAGGGAGGGGGCGACGTCGAATGCGATCCACGACGGGCATGCGAATTGCAAGTGTGCCCTCAGGACCCTCTCGCGCTCGGACGGCCAGGGACCGCCGCGCGGCGCGGCTTTGCATTCCGAAGGCTTCAGGGTGGGGCCCGAGAACTTCTTGGCGATCCTGAAAAAACGGCCGAGCCGTGGGGAACAGCGCCTCGACAATGCGACGCAGCCGATGTCATCTGCACTGACCCAGGTCCACCCCGTCTTCGCCTGCTCAATGCTGGTCCTTGAAGCAACAATTTCAAGTGAAGAGAGACAGCGTTCCTGATAAGTAGCGGGCGCCCATGAAGCACCCCGAGCGCCATCTCGAACAGGAATGCCCGCCCCCGGAACGAACCGAGGTAAACGTCGTCGCCAGTGCAAGAGCCCCCGCTCCGATCGCTCGAACCCCTCCGGCAGCCTGAGTTCGGCAATGCACGGGCGGGCCCATTCCTGGCGCGCGCTCGGGAAGCCATCGCGAAACCGAAGGCGATCAGCGCCGCCGCTGCCTGGGCCGCCTCGGACTCCGCAGCCATGGAGCTCGCGATGCGTGCGAAGGCGTCGAGGTCAACGATGCTGCATCGAGGTCAACGATGCTGTCCAGCAGCTGCCGTCCGCGGGTGAAACCCCCGCTGCGATTTAGCGCGGCCCCTGGGAATCGCCCGGCCGATCGAGAAGTCGAGGGCCTCGGCGACTATCTTACTGCGTTCTCGAGGCCGAGGGGGCGGGCTGCCGAGGCTCGAGCGACTTGGCCGCCCATGGCCCGCGCCGTCCTCGGCGGCCTCGGGGAGGAAAACTGCGAGGCAGTCGTTGAACGAGCAAGACCGGCACCTCCCGGTCATCAGCCGCTCGAAGCCGCGATCGGGCACCACGGGGCCCGCGCCGGGGAGCCGCGCCCAGCCGTGGAGCCCGTCGGGCCCTGGTCCCGACTGGAGCGCGCGCTTGATGGCTTCGACCATGTCGACTGTGGGCGGCGGCAAGCCTGTGAAGTCTTCGGAAAGGGCGAAACGCTGGATGCGCCTCCGTGCGCTCTGCTGCTCGGGGGCCAGCGTGGCGATTCCGAAGACCTCCCGCCAGTGGCCCGAAAGCTCCCCGGCGAACTCGCTCGTCCCAGTCACCACCTCGCGGCCTTCATCGGTCTCGATGAGGGCGCCAGCCACGCATTTCCGCCGGGCGGCGGAGTTCCGCGCGCGGGGCCGTCGAAGAAGAGACGCGCGCTGGTGGATGAGCCGATTTTGCCGGCTAAGTATCGGCCCCCGCGCGACGGCCCCCTGAAGCCACCGCAGTTGCCGCCGCGCCCGCTGCCGCTGGAAATCCGCGCGAAGAAGCTTGAAAACGCTCCAGGTGACGAAGATGAACGCGACAGCCCTCGATTTGAAGGAACTCGCGCGACCGCGGCTGCCGCGCCCAGATCGCCCGGGTGAGGCGGGCGTCTTGGAGCGCCACCGCGCGGGCCATGGATCGGGCCGCCACGGCGCGCGAAGTCGTTTTGCGCGCGGGGCGCTCCAAGTGCACTTCCAGAGTCACCTTTCCAGCCGCTTGGCGGCAACGCGCGGCCATGTCGACCAGGCTGGGGGCGTCCAGAATGGAGTAGTTGACGTAGGGCTCGCACTGGATTGCCAGCGTGTCGAGCATGGGGCCCGCGTGGACGCTTGGGGGGAAAGGCCTTTCCTTGCCTCCGCCAGGGCCAACGCGCGAGCGCCGGCATAATGAAATGCGGACGTGGTCCAAGAGGCCCTGCTTGAAGAATCCTTCTGGCTCGCCCTCCGCGCGGAGTTCCCGGCCGAACTGGCTGATGAACCAACCAGGGCCGCCGCGGAAGACGCGGTCGACGCGGCGGGCCTCGCGCGTCGGCCAGTGCCAATTCGCGTGGCCCGTCGCGACGATCTCGGCGAGAAATATCAACATTGCGAGCGTTCCAACAGTAGATTTTGCCAGGGGATGATGAAGACGAAATAGCGACGCACATCGCTCTCCCGGCGGCCAAAACCTCGCTCTCCACCTGGAGGCCTCCACGATCAGGCACTAGGGCAACAACTCCTCCAGCGTGCTCGCGCCGACCGGTCGACGAAACACCTGGTGCATGACGTTCGCCCGCTGAAGAGCCTCGCGCACAGCAAAGCAGTTCCTGTGCACCTCCTGCAGGGCGACGACGGTGAAGTCGTCGGGGAGGGCGGTGGTACTCGAGCTTGAAGCTCGCCTTCTGGGGGTCGTGGCGGAGAAGCGCCCGCGCATTCCACCGCTTGAGCTCCAGGCGGTCGCCCCCGAAGAGAGAGCTACCCAGACCGCTGCACCACCTCTGGGGCGAATGTGCTTCTGCCCAGATCCTCGAGGATCCGCTTGTCCAGTCCAAGCCCCACAACGGCAGCGCTGCCCCATCGCGTTTGGGGGCGCGTCGGGGGCGACGGCCGCCCGAGCAAGAAGCTCCCAGCGCGCGCTAAGAACACCGGACTCGCGCGCCGCGAAGGCCCTCTCCTGCAGCTTCTCTTCGAGGGCCCCCTCGAGGCGCTTAGCTGCGACCTCTCGCGCAACGTCGCCGCGATTCTTGTCGACTCCGACGGCGAAGGTGCACCCTCGCCCAGCCGGCAGCGTGGCCGAGAAGCGCCGCCACTGTCCAGGCGCCAGTCGCAGGCCCGAGGAAGCGCGCCGCGTCCTGGACTCCGCGATTGTAAGAAGCAGGTCGCTGGGGGGTGGTCGGCGTAGAAAATAATGGTAAAATCACGGAAGGTAGGGGGGTGAAGGGGGTAGTGGGGGTAGTGCAGTAAATCGCGCCACCTTTCAGATGGTCCTGTTTCCATATGGTATCGTCAGTACATCGCAAACCAGCGCCACTTGTCATGTAATGCCGTTAGATTAGAGCCGCACTTTCGGCTAGGTTAGCGCAGCACTTTCGGTCAAGTTCGCGCCAAATCCCTTTGGGGCTTGAGGTTCGCGCCGCACTTTCGCTAGCCGCTTGCATGTTGGCGACGTTCTTAAACATGTTCCGTATATGTCAGCAAATCGCATCTTTCAGAAGCTTTAAAGCATTCTTATCAACGCCTTGCACCTTTTATGCTATCTGTTATAGCCTTCCCCGTTTTGGGGTGCAGTGGGTTGTAGGGGGAGGTGGGAGGGGAGTGCGCTTTCGGCGGAGGTGGCCTACGACGCGGCGGTGGTTGCGGCGGAGGGGGCCTAGGACGGCCTAGGAGGGCCGCCGCGGCCGCCGCCGCGCGCTCTGGAAGGCTCGGAAGGTTCCGGAAACCTTCGCACTGCCTCGGAGTGCCTCGGAAACTGTCGGGAGGCCTCGGCAATCTTCGGAAGGCATCGGACATCCTTCGGACGGCCTCGGGGGGCTTCGGACACCTTTGACAGACATCGGAAATCCTTCGGAAGGCTTCGGGAGGCCTCGGGAACTCTCGGAGGGCTTCAGAAAATCTTCAGAACGAGCTCGGACGGCCGCGCGCGGCTGCTGACACGACCGCGCGCTCTCGCGGCGCGCGGCGGCGAGCGCTGAAAGGGGGGTGGCCAGAGGGTGACCCGGGGTGGCCGGGGGTAGCCGGGGGCGGCCGGGGGCCGCCCGCCTCAGCCGAAGATTGGAAACTGAAAGGCAGCCGGCGGGTAGCCCGGGGTAGCCGGGGGCAGCCGGGGGTAGCCGTGGGAGGCGGGGGGGGCGGGGGGGCGCGCGGAGCGCGCGCCGACTGAGGCGCAGAGCGCGCGATCGCGCCGTTCGGAGCCCCCGCGGGCCCCCGACGGCGCGCAAACGCGCGATTGCGCTTCGCCCGCGCTTCCCCCGCTTCGCTCCGCCTGCTTGATGGCTCCTCCTCCTCCTCTTCCTCCTCCTCCTCCTCCCGCCTCCTCCTCCTCCTCCTCGCTCCTGCCTCCTCCTCCTCCTCCTCCTCCTCCTCCTCCTGTTCCTGTTCCTGCTCCTGCTCCTCCTCCTCCTCCTCGTCCTCCTCCTCCTCCTCCTCCTCCTCCTCCTCCTCCCCCTTGTGTCAGTGCCCGCCGTCAGGCGGGCGGAGGGCGGTTAACAGGTCCAAGTTGCGGCCCGCCCGCATATTGGGCCCGCCGCGGGCCCAAGTTGCGGCCCGCTTGCGGAAAGGGGTCGTTTTGCGTTGGCCGCAATTTCGGTCGATTGGAGCTCGCGGCGCCTTCTCGCTCAGATTTTTCTGCATGTGGATATGGGGACGTTGGGTTTGTCAGTGTCGCAGGTGTTGTTCGGATGCGGCTTGTTCTGCGTGGTGCAAAAGCATGAAGGACTTCATGCGAGATCGCCGTCGGCGGCTGTGTTCGCTCATAACTTGGTTCGCCACCTGCGGTTTGTCGCTCGCGTGTCGTGCGCGGGCGAGGTTCGATGTCTCGTCGTTTTCGACATGTGCGGTCGTTTTGCTAGACTTCAGGCGTGGAGCTTCATGCTTGCAGCGTCGTGGTCAATCGTTGTTGCTTGTTTTCGGCCGCCAAAAAACGAGCGCGCTGTTTTTCGCGTCGGCAATACCAAAAACCGCTGATTCCTGACATCGTTTGACGCCTACTGCGCCCATACCACCTCCCAGCGATCTGCTTCTTACATCCGCGGTCGCCTGGAGGGTGCCGCTGAATCGCACCACGAAGGACCTAGAAAGGTCCTGTCCTTCCAACTTGCACTGGTTGTTCTCGTCGTAGCCCACGTCGTCCATCCACGGCTTGATCGCCTGAGCCACGGATGACTTCGGCATGCCCTCCTTGCACGAAATGATGAGCACGCACGGGCCAACCTCCCGGTTCCACTCAGCCGAACGCGCTGGCGGCACACGAGGCTTAGAGCGAGCCAGATCCAGCTGGCCCTCCAGCTTGGACAAGCGCTCGGCCAAGTCCTTGTGAACGGCCTCCACCCCAACCAAGCGTTGGCCTTGGGCCTTGGGATTCAAGATCCTTAGCCATCTTGTCCAGGCGCGTTGTGATCTTACCCTCGAACTCCTCGAGTAGGGGGCCCGCGGCATCGGAGATCGCCTTGGGCATGTGATCCCGCATCGTCGTGGACACCATGTCGCTGAGCTTGGAGAGCATGTCGGACTTGTACGTCCTGAGCTCCTGTTGCAGGCTGGTCTGGGCCCAAGGGTCCATAACGTCCTTCCGTCCTCCTCCGCCGGCTCCCCTTCCCCCTCCACGATCCTCGGCGCTGGGGCGCGAACCTGCCGCGGGGTCAGCAGCCAGCTCCAGCCCTCCCACGGTCACGTCCTGCTTCGCGGTCAGCACGGGGGGTCCTCGGAGGAGATAGAGAAGCGCTGCGAGAGTTAGAAAGCCCACTGCGATCGCGTTCCTTCCTTGAGTCCTTATTGTGCTTCTTTGCCTTGTCTTTACGAGGCGGTTTCTATCGTTGACCATGGCAGCCTGGGCAGGCCAAGCGAGAAGTCAGTTCGAATGAAAGTGATGATATGTAGGGTGTCCGCCTGCGCACGACACGTAGGAATGCTCGGAAGGAGAGCTGCCCGCTCAAAATGGGACCCGTTCCCACGTTGAGCCAAAATGGCTTGAGCCGAAATGGCTACGGAGGAAGGAGGAAGGAGGAGGAGGAGGAGGAGGAGAAGGAGGAGGAGGAGAAGGAAGAGGCGGAGGAGGAGGAGGAGGAGGGAGGAAAGAAGGAAGTGGAGAGAGGGAGGGGGGAGGAGGAGAAGGGGGCAGAAGCACCAGGAAGGAGAGAAGAGGAGGGAGGAGGGAGGAGGCCTTCCCTGCTGGAGAGCCCCCGCCCCCCCCCCCCCGGGTGGCGCCGTCGCCGCTGAGGCCAGCCGCGTGGGCGCGCAGCAGGCACTGGGCGCGCAGCACAGCGTCGCCGTCGCCACGCATCTTGACCAGCCCGGAACTCGGGAGGGGCGCACGTCGTCGTCGTGGTCGTCGTCGTCGTCGTCGTCGTCGTCCTCGTCCTCGTCCTCGTCGTCGTCGTCGTTGTCGTCGCCGGCGTCGCCGGCGTCGCTGGCGTCGTCGGCGTCGCTGGCGTCGTCGGCGTGTCGTCGTCGTCATCGTCGCCGGCGTCGCCGTCGCCCGCATCTTGACCAGCCAGAAACTCGGGGGCGGCGGTCCCAGGCATCCCTGGTGGCGTAAAACAAAGACGACGCCAGGTGTGGCAAGGCTTCGGGCTGCGCACGGGCAGCCCCCACAGGTAGACCCGGCTGGCCTCGAGCGGTCTCAACACCCCAGCGCCGCCTCCAGCGGCGCCCCTGGGCACACTCCGCGCCTCAGGGGCTGAGGTGTTGAGTCCGCTCCGGGCAACTCGGGGGGTCTGTTGAGGCCAGCGGGAACTACCTTGAGGGGCTGCATCTGCGCACCCCGAAGCCTCACCAGGAGGGTGGTCGGTACGTCTCGGCCTTCGGCTGCCCTTACCATGTCCTTGAGGCGTGGGGTGAGAAGTCGGACTCTGGAAATCAAGTCCAGACCTCACATTGTGAAACAGGCACGACGTCGGATGTGTGGGGTACAGACTCGCGGATTGAGGTCGAGGGCCCCCAAGGCGGGCGGTGGTGGGATCAATAAGCATCCAAACGGGGAATCGAATCGGATCGGAAAGTGCGCGGAATCGGGCCGCATCTGCACGGAGCCTCGGACAGGATCGGCCGCGCCAGGATGCACACCGAGGCCGCGCGATCATCGGGCCGCACCGGATCGGCGAAATGTCCGACATGGTCGGGTCGGATCGGGCCGGTCGGAATCGATGTCAAATCGGATCGGTCGGTTCGAAATGGAACCTGGCTTGCGAGGCGGGAATCTATCCATATCCACCGCCTGGGAACCGACGTCCTGGTGACCCGGCGGGCGGTGGATATCTATATATTTCCCCCCCCGGGGATCCGAACTTATCCATATCCACCGCCTGAGGAGGTCCGCGAAGATCGATCCCACAGACGGTGGTTATGGATACATCCACGCCTCGGATGGCTGGGCCCAGGCCACAACGGATCGAACTACGCGGATCGAACTCCCGGCGCTCGCGGATCCAGGCCTCTGCGCGCTCGAGTTCCATGTGCAGGCCTCAGGGCTTCAGGCCGTCGCGGCTCGAACCACCTGCTCACGTGCTCCATCGCCCGTGCTCTACCTCCGAGCAGTCGCGCCGGCCTCAGGCCCGAGAGGAGGGCATGCCTCTCAAGACGATGTTCCATGCTCCAATGATGCCTGACGTGCCTTTCTTGCCTAAAGGGTCTTGCAGATCAACCCTTCACGAAAATCCTGCTCCACTCGACCCACGAACTGATGCGTCGCCCCGCCCCCTCTGTGGGAGTCTGGGGCGAGGGGGTGCGCGACAAAATCCCCCGACAACCTCCAGCCGGGATTCATTTCTGATGGCCCTGGGCCCTGGGGCCCAACATACCATAGGGTAACAAGGGGGGTCCAGCACGGATCCGAGAAATCCGCGGAGACCTACGACCTACGATACCACAGGGTAACAAGGGGGGCCGACATCGCGGAACAACCCCCAGACTGCAATCATAGTATCGCCGAAGATCTCGGCAAGACGAGGCTGGCAGCCGAGCCGACGGCGACACGAGAGCAGGGGTAACGACGACACGTCAGCTGGAAGCCGAGCCCCATGCTCCGCGGAGACGCGCAGCTGCAAGCCGGCGATGCCAGCCAGGGCCTGCGCACGGTATTCTGTATCCTCCATGCCCCGTCTCCCCCTCCCCCCCTTGTCAAGCTGAGTTGTGCCATCAGCCTTCAAGATGGAGGGGTCAGGACGCAACTCCTAGAACGTCTTCGTGGGAGCGAAGAAGAGCTATTCAGTCTTTTTGAAGGGCTAAGCCAGATTAGCCCTGGTTGAATCCAGTGCTCAACCCGATTATGCCAGATAAGACGGGATTCGACGAAACTTAAGGGGACTATGCCGGATTAGGCCAGCTTTCGACCACGAACATACCCCTCTCCTGCCACACCTTTTGTACCAACTTTGGCCTTCCACCCCGGGAATTCGAGGGGGGAGCTTTTGGAACGCCGCAACAAAAACATCTGAGCGTTTTTGGTCTTGCTCTGGTCCCGCAGGGGGGCTTCCGGGAACTCCTGATAACCTCAAGAAATATTTGAGACGCTCGGGGTCTGGACCCAGGGTGTCGGCAAAGCTGACAAACCCCTCCGCCACCACGTCATTATTTCGCCTGCTCCTCCTACCCCTCGTCCCCCTCTTCCTCTCGCTCCTCCTCTCCATCCCTCTTCTGCACCATCCCCGATCATCCTGTTCGTCCAACTGCTGCACCTCCTCCTCATTCTCTTTTGGTTCGTCTTCGCCTCATGTGGCTTCCTTCACTTCATATGCCAAGCAACCGCCAGGGCTGATATGACGGAAAATGCCAACGCAGGTCAC